TTCATACCATAGGAAAATTTATTTTTATCAATTTAACTTTATATTAATATTTAAATACTTGACAATTATTTTTTTTCGCTCATTTTCTTAATTTCATATCAGACTTTATACATAATTATACTTTATATCTACCGTAAATCATTCTCTCTTTTTTATTAATATTCAAGTATAAATTTCAACGCCCGCCAGACCCCTATTGGCGTGGGGGTTTCAATGAGTCAACAGAGTGGTCATTGGCTGACTTAATGACATTTATGAATTATTGTGAGTTTGTATATGGGAAAATGGAAGCTGTTTTGGTTTACAACGCTACAGAACCACAGAAAACGGGAACCTAAAGTATTAAATAAAATGGAAACTTGACTAATCAGTTTTTAATATTACTTACATATTATTCAATTCATCATAGATCGCTTTATTAATATTGTCACTAGTAGCACACGGGGGTGGGTTAGGATATACTGTAAGGGGTGGGTTAGAATATAAGGGGTGGGTTAGAATATAGAGAAGGTGGGTTAGGACACGGACTCGACACACACCAGCACTACGAGAGACACCTCACTATCACCATACTTCACGGGTCTTCACTGTTACCACCACACTGGCCGATCCGCGCCTTCCACTCCACCACCCGCCCCCCGCACGCCCACTCTGTGACGTCATGCATCTTAACTCCGCCTATTGCGGCTATTGGGAAGTAACTCTACGGATCACACCTGCCTCACTTTACCTGTTCTTAATTAGTTTTAGAAAAAAAATATAGACATGGGACTAATATATACGTTCAGGTATAGCCACAAGAATAGGTACAGGTACAAAAATATAATTACAGGTACAGATAGCCATACAAGCCTAAGTACAGTTGCAAATACAGTGCAATATAGGACAAGGTATAGTTACGAACCTAAATAAGTGTATAAGTAAAGGTAGTAATTACATATATACGTACGAATATAAGTATAGGTATAGATACATATATAATTACAGGTATAGGCAGCGATACAGGTACAGGCACAAATACAGATACCATTCAAAACAACAACAATACTGACAGAATACCATCCTTAACAAAAGCAGCAATAACAGGAACAAAAAGACAACAACAGTCACAGGAACAGTAAGGAACAGGTAATATACACAGGTAATAGTCCAGTCATTAAGTTTTCCTTCAGCATCCACACAGGTAAATATATCACCCGTAATTTATAATCGTTGGTCTAGTGCCTTACCTAACCTAACCTATAATATACACGGTTCAAGACCTTATAGTTGTTGAAGTGAAGTAATATTTCATTAACATTAACAGAGAGTCGAGTTAGTGTAAGGAAAAAACGACGTCTGCCTTCTCTGCCAGCTCATGTTGACAACCTCTCATCATTCCACGACCAAAGACCCCCCCCCCCCTTGAAAAAACCACCAACACACAACACCACAAACAATCATCTTCATTCCACATGCCCTGTACTTCCTCTTCCTCTGATAACGACCATTACGAGCCATTATGTATCAATCGTTCATAATGGCTCCCCCTTCACCCATTAAATCCCGGTAATTGATGGCTTGGGATCGAGCTAAGAGTCTTGAGGGGCGCCGAGCTGATGGCATCTTCTGATAACATATGGACTCGGTTATCTCTCTTAGCTATATGGAGGAATGGATATCCGTATACTCATAACCTGGAGACTTACTAATCCACAGGTTTAGTTATCCATAGATTATCCAGAGGGTCAAGGGTGAGGTGACCTAACATGACCCAAGTACTAGAAGGGGGCCAAGGGATGGGAAGACGAGGGTTATTATTTGTGTTAGTTAAGTCATAGTCTTCATTCCATCATCATTCATGGTTCTGCCATACACTATAATGATGTGTTGTGTGTGAACTCTTATCTATAAACAAACGCATCTTCCCACGCTTTAACGCACCAACTTTCATAATGCGGGAGGAGGTGAATCTCTCTCTCTCTGCTATATAAGGCCATGCCGGAGGGAGGTCGACCGTGTACACTATTAGCGGGAATGGGTGGTGGAAGTCGACAGAAGAGAAGCGGTGATTATGTGGTATATATATAGAGGATGCATTTGGCTGGGTCTTACGTGGTCTGATCTGGAGTCTCAGAGTCTCGTACGCTTATTTTCTATCTTAATTTCAGGTATTCTAGATGTTAAGTGAGTCAGTTTGGAGGAATATTTATGTCGTGAGCTCTTGAGAAGCCAATTTTTTTTGTCTCCTGTCCTCTCAGCTGATAGAAATTACTCACACACGTTCATACTGATCGGTTTGTTTACTATAATCCCGAATTTATGAATGGACTCAGTTACGTAAACACTACCAAGTGGGTCTGTTTTTGTTTATCGTCATTATTGATTTGTGAATGGACGGAAGTGACCTGAAGGAAAACAACGAGGACAGGCGGTGATTGGTGGAATTTGTCACGTGATTCTGAAGTTTTAGCTGAAATCACTGTCTCGTTCCCTCCCTCACGACCCTCCGTCTCCACCACCTCTCTCCATCCCCACACTCCCCCCACCAGACATGACGGGGTACTTGGTGGCAGACGCCTCACCTGGGACCCATTTCCCCGTCAGCATTACCATAATAAGTGAAGGATGGCCATGATCTACGGAACTCCCCTCACATTCGTCACTCCTGCTGCCACTGGTACTGTTAACGCCACCTCCACACGCACACACATTGCTTGCTATAATTCTACCCGCTTAGAAACTGGAATTTATATGAAAACCATCGATTTTGTTAAACCTGAATACTATACATGATATTTAAGTTATCCCTCTAATCAAATCCATTTTCTGTAATATTTCACGTTTTCTTTCATAGCTCAATCTTTATTCGAATTATTTTCATGATACAGTATTTCGAAATTTTTTACCCAGTTCGTTGTTTTTTTTTATTTACGTAATGGAGCGTCACACATCAGCCACAGGCAGAACCTATAATTATATCATTATACTGACAATGAATGTACCGCTTTGGCATACTTAACGCCATCCAGAATACAATGTTCCCATACTCAGAGGCGGCCATAAAGCACCCCTACACCCCCCGTCACCCACCCCGTCAGGAGATGTTCCGTGAAAGTTGACAAAACACGACAGACTAACATTTACCATTAGCGTTATTGTCACGGCATTGAGGGTGCTTCCGGGAGGTATTCAGAGCTTTAGCTGAATAAATAATACTGCTTACTTCACCCAAATGGCAGTAGTGTCATGGGATGTACCGTAATGACATGTATGAAACGGCAATAGCGTAGACTCGTGGGATGCGAACATCGGAGGAAAAACGAAAGAATGAAATTTACAAACAACAAGGTAGCAATGTGATGATAATCTTATTTTTGTGAACCCCTAAAAATGCACGGGGGTTTTATAGTCCTAATCACAGCTTTTCAAATAGGGGACAGATCCAGGAATATCAAAAGGGTGGGGGGGAGGGTCCAAGAAGTTATGATTGGGGGAACACGGCGAGCATAGTGAGCCCACCCACAGCACCGCCGAAAATGTTTTGAGATCTGACCAATAGTAATTAGTTTTTACTGTACAAAATATTTAACCAATAGAAAAATGTGAGAAGGAAAGTAGTCGTGACACAGGTGAGGAGGAGGTGAGTAGCAAGACACAGGTGAGGAGGAGGTAAGTAGCAAGACACAGGTGAGGAGGAGGTAAGTAGCAAGACACAGGTGAGGAGGAGGAGGTAAGTAGCAAGACACAGAGGAGGAGGAGGTAAGTAGCAAGACACAGGTGAGGAGGAGGGAGGTAAGTAGCAAGAAACAGGTGAGGAGGAGGAGGTGCAGCAAGACACAGGTAGGAGGAGGAGGTAAAGTAGCAAGACACAGGTAAGGAGGAGGGAGGTAAGTAGCAAGACACAGGTGAGGAGGAGGTAGCAAGACACAGGTGAGGGAGGAGGTGGGGTAAAGCAAGACACAGGTGAGGAGGAGGAGGGGGCAAGACACAGGTGAGGAGGAGGTAAGAAAGCAAGACACAGGAGGAGGAGGAGGAGTAGGCAAGACACAGGTGAGGAGGAGGGTAGCAAGACACAGGTGAGGGAGGAGGTAAGTAGCAAGACACAGGTGAGGAGGAGGTAAGTAGCAAGACACAGGTAAGGAGGAGGTAAAGTAGCAAGACACAGGTAAGGAGGAGGAGGTAAGTAAAGACACAGTAAGGGAGGAGGAGGTAACAAGACACAGGAAGGAGGAGGAGGTAAGTAGCAAGACACAGGTGAGGAGGAGGAGGTAAGAAAAGACACAGGTGAAGAAAGAGGTAAGTAGCAAGACAGGTGAGGAGGAGGAGGTAAGTAGCAAGACACAGGAGAGGAGAGGAGGTGGGGAAGAAGACACAGGTGAGGGAGAGGAGGTGGGGTAGCAAGACACAGGTGAGGAGGAGGAGGTAAGTAGCAAGACACAGGTGAGGATATATAAACAATGTCAGCAGCCATTTTCTGACCATGTGTCTCCCACCACATGAAACTACACTACTGCCATTTCCCTTCCCTCCTCTCTCTCTCTCTCTCTCCCCCTCTCCCTCCCCACCCCTTCTCCCACCCTACTCCTCCTCTATCCCCCCCACTCCCCCCTTCCGTCTCTGCCTTATGAAAATCCTACAACAGAGATTACAATAACAGGAAACAATGATAAACAGGAGACAGGACACAAGATAGAGACAAACAGACAGCAACTGTCACTGTAGCCTGTAATCTTGATCATACATACATACATACATACATACATACATACATACATACATACATACATACATGAAGTAAGGAAGATAAGTTTGCGGAGGGGAAATGCGTGTTATGGGAGGAAGGAAACTTGTATGAAGAGGAAAGAGAGTGGAAGGGAGAAAGATGCTGTCAATAAGCACTGGGTACACATTTCTTCACAGGAAATTGGGATGGATGGAAAGAGTGTTTGTGTGTGTGTGTGTGTGTGAGAGAGAAAAGGCCCTTGGCACATACAGTAGATTGGCACTAAGCGACCTACCTGGTGGAGGACTTGAGGTGGTCGATCCACTCCTCCTCAGAAGGACACCGTCGCCGCCGAAGTCCCAGAGTGAGAACAGACGTTTTAGCAGTTCCTGTGAGAGAGACGGACATTAGTGGACATTTTAAAGGCGCATATAAACACACAGGAAAGTGTTGAATGAAAAATAAATTTGTGCATAAAATAAGAGGAAGGGAAGGAAAGGAGGGGAGGGGAGGAAGGAGGGGAGGAGGAAGAGGAAGGAGGGAAGGGAGGGAAGACGAGAGGGGAAAGATGCCGAGAGGGAGGAGGAAGGATGAAAGGGGGGGGGAGGAGGGGAAGGAGGAAAGGAGGAAAAGGAGGGAAAAGAGGAAGATGTATCATGAAAAGTAAGTTAGCTTTAAAAAAATCTGAGGAACTATATAGAGATGAAAGTCCGTTATATCGAGGATCCGTTAGATAAGAACCCCCAATCTAACGGATTATCTGGGGAGAGAAGTCCGTTATATGGAGGTTACACTGTATAGGTCAATTAGTACAGTGTCGGTAGTCACGATACTCTGCTTGTCTTCTCTTGATAACTAACGACAGTATTTTTTAATGTAAACAACTAATTAAGAATCACTCATGACCAAGGTGCATACTTGTTAGGATTAGTAAACGTGAAGTAAGTTTTACACCTGGTAGATTAAAAAAAATAGAAATAAACAAACAAGAAGAGAAGAAGATAAGTAATTAAGTAAGTAAAGTGTGTCTTTCCTGATTATCATAAGAATACTCATCTATTTAAGTTACCCTCAATTTTCATCAAAGAAAACGTTCAACGTTTTTTCTATCCCGAAATTTTCTACCGCTAACTATAGTATTTACTTTCCATATGTAACGCTACATATTTACCTAATGCTCACCCAAACTAGAGGTGGCCATGCCGAGGGAAGGAGGCCACTGTTCTTGTAGCTTCAGACAGGAAATAAATAACGATTAACTCAGAATTTAACGTCGGGAATTATCAAGTAAAGGCTGGACAAACACACGGGTCATAATGATGATAAACAGAATTGCCTCACAAGGGTCAATAGGCCTATGACAGTTTCCGCTGTTCCTAAGCTGGCTTACATGGGTCAATAGGCCTAGAGTCTAGGCCTATGTTAGGTAGGGGAGTGGTGGTAGATGTTAGGGTAGGGAGTGGTGGTAGATGTTAGGGTAGGGAGTGGTGGTAGATGTTAGGGTAGGGAGTGGTGGTAGATGTTTGGGTGAGGAGTGGTGGTAGTGATTGACGGGACTATGAGGTCACTCTTCCTCTCTACGAAACGTCAAGTCAAGAAACAACTGACGTGTGTGTGTGTGTGTGTGCGTGTGTGTGCGTGTGTGTGTGTGTGTGTGTGTGTGTGTGTGTGTGTGTGTGTGTGTGTGTGTGTGTGTGTGTGTGTGTGTGTGTGTGTGTGTGTGTGTGCGTCAGCTAAAACAAGGCTTAACACAGGAAATCTCGCGGCCATCTTTCACCAACTGTACTGTATAACCTTCATTCGAGTGCGTCATAGAAGTAACTCAAGCTGTGTACTGCAGGCAGAGGAAACGCACTCACACACAGGTATAATACGTGACTGTTTCTAAGCTTGGGTTCTTCTGTTGACCTTCACACAGGCCACGAAGGTCAAGAGCGTGACCTTTACCTGTGTTGTGACTGAGGTGAGGTGTTTACAAAGAGGATGTTGTCATGGTCATCTCGGGGACGCTACAGCCTCCCAGGACAGAGAGAGAGAGAGAGAGACTATCCAACCTTCCGTAACACGATTACTCCTTCCTTCTATGTTTAATGAACCCAGAAACCACACACACACACACATACACACACACACACACACACACACACACACACACACACACACACACACACACACACACACACACACACACACACACACACACCTCCCATCGCCAACCAGTGTCTCGTTCTTTAGGGTACAGGTAGAAGTGGGGGGGGGGGAAGGAAAGGAGGAATATTTGGGGAAAATCCATAACTTAGCCGGTTGTGTATAGGTGATACGAGTGGGTTCCATAGTAGGTCCATGGTTCATTATCGACCCCATTTGAGTGAAGTATCATTCTCTTATGGGTCGATTACACCTCTCTCTCTCTCTCTCTCTCCGCCATCATCAGGAGGCGCATTCCTTTACTTCACCACCAACATCTACGTTTCGCCACCTTCGTCTCTTCACCTCCACCAGAAGAGGATCACGTACTGCGTGTCTTCACTTGGCCTGAAGCCACACACACACACACACACACACACACACACACACACACACACACACACACACACACACACCTCATACAACGTCTGATTTACTTTAATATGTAAAAGTTGTTCACTACTGTACATTGGTGACAGGTGACGCCTCTGATTCCTGGTGCATGGACCGTAACTTGGGCCATAAAGAGCAGACTTGCGTGAAAATTATCCCTGGTGGTGGTGGTGGTAGTAGTTGTGGTAGGTGGTGGTGGTAGTTGTGGTAGGTGGTGGTGGTAGTTGTAGGTGGTGGTGGTAGGTGGTGGTGGTAGTTGTGGTAGGTAGTGGTAGTAGTTGTGGTAGGTGGTGGTGGTAGTTGTGGTAGGTGGTGGTAGTTGTGGTAGGTGGTGGTGGTAGTTGTGGTAGGTGGTGGTAGTAGTTGTGGTAGGTGGTGATAATAGTTATGTTGGTTGGAAGTGATGGTAGGTATTTATAATATTTGTGGTGGGTAGTAACTGTGGTGGGTGAAAGTATACAGGTGATAAGTAGTGGTAGTAGTCGGTGTGTGGCGTGTGGTGGTGGTAGGGCTAGCAGGTACTCAAGTCTCCTCACAGACGATACAGGACGGTCAAAGCCCAAGCCAGCAGCCAGTATGAAACGAAATGAAAACAGTCGTCCATTCCTCTAGGCAGCGTTCAGCGTTCCCGGGACCTACAGTGAACCCTCCCTGCTGCCCTTACCAACCACACGGTGAACGGAGAGGCGAACGAGGTGAGGTAAGGAGTGAGATAGGTAGTGTGTCTCAGAGGGTCAGGTGAAGAGAGAGAGAGATAGGTAGTGTGTCTCAGAGGGTCAGGTGAAGAGAGAGAGAGAGAGATAGGTAGTGTGTCTCAGATGGTCAGGTGAAGAAAGAGACACCCAGGTCGCATGTCTCAGAACCGGACCTGGGTGTTCTGGCCTCTCCCTCTACGAACGACGAAAAAAATCATTTTAATCCTTACTTTTCAGAGAATCGTCTGAAGAGCCTCCCACACACACCTTATGAACGCACGGACACAAGTAGAAACGGAGAGAGGAGAGAGAGAGAGAGAGAGAGAGAGAGAGAGAGAGAGAGAGAGAGAGAGAGAGAGAGAGAGAGAGAGAGAGAGAGAGAGAGAGAGAGAGAGAGAGAGAGAGACCTTACAGTAATTCAGGGTTATTCCACATCACTGTAATAAGTATTTAGTGAAGTCCTTCCTTCCTCGTTACGTAATCATACCCTCTCCACCCTAAACCCACCCATACCCACCAACATCCCACCCTCCCATCACTCACCTACACCCACCTCCATCCTCCACCCACCCACACACCTACTAAAACAGGTACTGGCACGCACCCACCAACCCCGACTCCTCCTCCACTCACCCCCACTAACTCCATCCACTCCAGCACCCACACACCTACAGAAACAGGTACTGAAAAGCCTACAAAAACACCCTAAATGACTAAAGAAAAGAGATAATGGCAATGATATAACAGCTGAGTGTGTGTGTGTGTGTGTGTGTGTGTGTGTGTGTGTGTGTGTGTGTGTGTGTGTGTGTGTGTGTGTGTGTGTGTGTGTGTGTGTGTGTGTGTGTGTGTGTGTGTGTGTGTGTGTGTGTGTGTGTGTAGTGAAGTATAGTGAATAAAATGGTGTGTCTAAGTCCTTGGTCGTATAATGTTCAGGTTACAATTTTCTCAAGATCTTTTCAGTCACGGCGGGCGGCGGAGATTGAACAGAACCCAAGCATTATGTTCTTTTTCTCTTGTTCTTCATTGTTCTGTGGTGATGTTTTGGTTATTGGTAATAATTCTTTCTTGGTTTTTGTTCTACTTTATTGTTTATTTTCTCCTCCTTCTTCTTCTTGTTCTTATTTGTATTTTTTGTGCCATGTTTTAGCATTTTTTTTTAGCTTAACCTAACCTAACTTAACCTAACCTAGAACCTAACCGCTATTCTCCTATCTGAAGTGAAAATTGTATGAACTAAACCACGGTAATCAGCAGAGGTGTTGACATCAGCTGTAGACCGACACAACACCATAATAAACACCATCTTATCTTTTATCAATGTTTCGTAAAAAAATTAGAAAAACACCAATTTTGTCAAGGTCTGTGCGTGGTCTACCCGTCTCACTGGTCTAAACAACACGTGTACACCGCTGTTGCTTGGTCAGATAATATTAAAATTGTCGGTAAAATTGTTATTAAAGCTGGCTGGAATTCTTCGCCAGTCAACCGGTTCTGATCAGGGACATGAGTCGTCTCCTCACTGAAACTCTACGAGGAATTTTGTTCGAGGTGAATTTTGTTTGGGGGGGTGTTTATGTTATGTTCTACTCTACACTACACTACACTACACTACAAGCATCCGACTCTACAACTGACCCCTGGGACCGATAACCTTGGAACATGATGCCCTACAATCTACATGATAAAGCCCCTGGGAATACAAGAGGGGGATCAACAATCAACTGTGGGAGGGAAGGAACTAAACTCTGTACTGGTGGGGACGACGCTACTCCCTGGCACATGACGCTTACATTCCACACACAAGGAGCCCCAGCCAAGGATCTGAACCCCAAACAACACCTGGGGCAGTGGTGGGTCAGTCAGCCCAGTTCCTCACCACAACAACCTCGCCTCCCTTCCTCTCAGGAGGCGGGAGTCGCACCCCGCCTCTCCCCACACACAATCTGTTTAGTAACCCCGTATAATAAACTTGCTTTAAAGATGGTTTTATGATCACTAGACTACAATAACAATAATAACATCGTAGATAAAACAGTAGCCTCTTTAACACACTAGTCAAGAAGCACAGGATCACCAGGATTCCACAAAAACAGTTACACGGGTATATTTAGAAC